AAAAATACAGCCAAGCCTGTCCCTTCCTGAGGTTGGCCCCTAGGCTCTCCTTGTGAGAAGCTTACACTTGGTAGTGGCTAGCTATCGCTGTAAAAAGCCCTTCCACACAGGGGTGGGGCTATTTTTACTTTGTTTACCTTATCCTGTCTTGCCCCTTTCTAGGATGGCTGCCAACACAGCAAGCCCCTTGGCTCAAATGTGGATGAAATGAGATGTGTGTAAAGCTATCTGAGTATGTGACTTACATGTCTGCTGTGTTTCACACCTGCGGGCACAGACATCTTAATAACACGAGTCTTCATCATTCTTCATTTCTATAGCCAAGCAACTGGGATAGGGCACGTGAGTAAAGTTGACACCGGAGCCTGAAAGTAATCCTCAGCCATGACTTAAAAGTTACTCTAATACGATCATTAAGTGCAAAAAGAGCTTTTTTTTCTAACTAGATATGGAGTGTCCTAGATCTTTAGTGGAGCCTAGTAGTTCACTTGATAAATAATAATGTGCTCGAATATCACTTTTCCTCCAGTCTTGCCTGCCAAGTAGGTGCTGCATAGATATTCGATCCATGTTCATAACACAAGTTGCAAAAAGCCTGTGAAGCACTCAGACAACCCAATAGTCAATGATTTTCAGCAGAAGCCTTTCTACTAATCTTGGAGCTGGACATCAGCCTCCCATTGTTTGCTCAACTATATGAACAACCACTCTCCCATGGAGGAAGACTTTGGCATCTTCTGACACACAGCTTGATCTATTTCTGGGTCAAACACGTAGAACCGCGAGGTCTCAGTTTCTGTCTGTTTTATGCTAAAGTCTGCAGGACAAACATGGTAAGGTATGATGTCCACATTTAGGAATGACATCATATGCAGCACATGCTTCGTGTCAAAAGAGGCTACAATGCCATTCATCTTCGTAGCTTAGTGCCATACTTCATCAAACTTAAAACCGCATGAGCTACTTTTGTTGCCTCATATTGACTGACATCAGATCTGCTTTAATTTTCCTCTTGCAGCAAAATGAGCTTCAGACTGCAGGACTGCAGCTCTGCAGCTGAGCCACTCTGTGAGGAGACTTGCAGTCAGCCATGAGAGAAACAAGAATGCAAGACAGGATAAATTATTGGAGGACTGAGCCATCACCGTCCTTGTTGGAATGACCACTCTGCTAATTTGGGTGGCTACAACTTTCACCAGAGTGAGAGGAAGGTCGCTCGCATATCTGAGCGTCTGTGTGCTTCTGGCATGTGTGCATCTGCATATTCAAAATCCCAGAAGTGAAAGTGAGAGTCAAAAATTGCACAGCGTTAAGAGAATGCGTGAGAAAGCCTCTCCAGCAGAGTGGTTTCATATCCCAATATGTGTTGGGAAATCACTCTCTCTCCTTACTCTTACTGTTTGCCTTTGCTATCTGGAAAACACCAGGGGAGGGTGGAGTGGAGTTGAGGGTACAGTCTGTGTTTCTGCACCGAGAGCCAGCTGACTTATGTTACAAATCCACACCAACCTGTATTACCAACATTATCTTTTTTTCAGAGTGTCAGCTAATCCTGTAGCTTTTAATTAAAACACTTGTCCTCTGGGGCACTGAAACTGTGAAGTATAATCTTAAAACTTCCCTACCTCAGTTTCTTACAAATCCCTTGATAACTACCTGAAACCAGTTGAACCGATGTATCAAATTTAACTTGGTTAACATAATAACAGTTCAGCAAGGAATTAAAAAAACCCTCCTCCCTCACTGTAGGATCGGAGACTTGTTTATGAGTCCATAAAAACCTTGATGTGAGGAACACATTATATCAATTCTGCAGATTACAACACAAATACTCCCAGATTATCTACATAAACCACATTCTTAGCCAATTTCATGTGTTCAGCTCTACCCTTAAACATATTTTGCAAATGCACTTCCTGCATTTACACAAAACTGTATTTATAGCTCTTTTGGCGTTCCTTTATTGAAGCCTCAGTTTGGCTTAACTATGTATTTTTGAGTTGTATTCCAATAAGTATAAGCATCTTATGAGTAAGTTAGCGTAAATCGAAACAAAAAGACAAACAAAAGATGGGGAGTACCTCAATGAAATGGGTGACGAATCTAACAAAAAGAAGAGTACCCATGCTAATTGTTGGGGGTGGCTATGGCTCAAGTGGTAGAGCTGGCTGTCAATCACCAGCTCCTACAGTCCAAGTGTCAAAGTATCCTTGGGCAAAATACAGAACTCTGAGTTTCCCCTGATGCATTCATGGAAGCGTGAATGTGTAGTAAAGTGGGTAGGTATGGATAAAAGCAATGATGTATATGTGATTAGGATGAGATTTGAAATAGAAAGTGCTTTGAGTGCTCAAATTGAGTAGAGAGGCACCATGTAATTCCCAGTCGATTTACCATTTGTAGATTTTGCAGACAGGATTCTTTACATTTGTCCCTCTTGTAAATAAAAAATGCAACAAGGTAACAACACAGAGAAAGGAAATAAAGCAGAAAAAGGAAACTTTTTTTATATGTGCAATCCAGCAGAGGTGGTGCGGTCTTGATGAAGTTTAAAACTTAAAGGGAACCTATTGTGCTCATTTTCATCCCCTATGTTTAATTCTTGCTCACACCGAGAGAAGGTCTCCATTATTTGCAGATCTAAATTATTCTTCCTTTAAGATTAGAAATACTTTATTTGTCCTAGTATTGGGAAGCTCTTTATATAATCTTGGGTTATGATGCATTACCTAAACGTCAACAACCTCACCAGAACCCAAAGTTTAGACTTTTAAATTCCAAAATTCTGATGCACAAATCGAATGAAACGAGGGACCAGCAAATTCTACCATTCTTGGCATGGACATGAGACTGCCCGCTCAGCCTCCAGTGTGTCCGATTACGAGTTTCACGCATAGAGCAGTGCAACAGGACCAGGCAAATGAATTAATTTTTAATTAATTTTTGGCTTTCAATATTGTAACAATATATCCATCCACCCATGTTCATAACTGCGTATTCAACAGTAGAGGGGAGCAGAGACACCAAGTGTCAATCAAACCCTTACTCTAGCATGCTATGTGGCACATCTCAAGAGCCTAGCTTCACAATTTGAGACGTATAAATTAAGATTACATTCGCCTGACATATGAAGGATCCCCAGTTCCAGACACAAACCCAGCCTCGAGGGATCACCAGCTAGTCTACTTGCAGGGCCAGACTGAAGCAGATATATGGAAGGGTTGCTTAAGCAAGGATATCCAATGTAAGGTCTGTGTCACATCAAACATGCAGATCCATCCACTAGGCGACTCAATGGAAATAAGGCAGCAGCCAAAAAAATGGGATACCTGAAATTAGGCTTAAAGGCAAATCCAACTTTCCCCAGAAGAGTTTACAGCACAACATCCTAGTATAAGGTACAGTATAGGGCATAGTTGTTGTGGATCGTTTTGTCTCTAATGACACACACACACTAGTCAAACAAAGCTGCAATTTTCACATAAGGTTAAACACTATGCATAGGTCAATCAAGATATACAGCCAGTATTACAGTAGATTAGGAAAATCAAATTAACCCATTTCAAATGATGAAAATGAAGTCCCAAAGCTACAAGATGGAACTACATGGACATGAACGTTCAATAAAAATAAATAAATACTTACAAACTCGAAACCAACCCTCTTTACTACACAGACCATAACCAGAGTGTGTACAATTGCATTTATAACCACATAATAACCATGTGATACTCAGACAGTCAACAGACGAGATGCCAGCGAGGTTTATTTACTTTCTGTCTGACCTAGTTGTATGGTCTGCTAACCCGAGGCCATAGAGCAACCCAAATTCATTTCCCAAAAGTCTCAGCGTCTTACTGTCCCACCTAAAAACTTGGCAATCTGACAAGACACAAACAGGAAAAACAGGGCATGCCCATTTGAATGAATATGTGCATGTCAGCACACCCTAAAACAAAAAATAATAAATCAGTATTTTCTGGTTCTGTCGGCAACTTGCAAGTGTAACCAGCACTCAGTTACACAATGTTACGAGCATTTTGCATATTTTGAAAGCTTGGTGTGTTGTGCACATATTTCCCCCTATGGACTCCAAGACAGAAAAAAATGCAGAGAATGAAAAAAGGGGGGGAGCGAGAGAAGAAAGAGAAAGGAAGTTACCTATGTAATGAACAACACATGTTTGGCCTTTCTTTGGAAATGTTCTTCCTGTTAATGAAAGAGAGAGAAAACAAGTGTTAGTGTGTGTTTGTATACTCTCTGAGGCTACCAGGTTAATCTTGTAATTAGACTGGCAGTCTCATTAGCAAATCCAAGGTTCAGTCTGGTGGGGTCGACTGATGTCAGTACTGTTGCACCCTCTTTACACTTTCAGACATACTAAAGTGAGATATGCATCTGTCATCCTCATGCTGTAACTTTAGCCTGCAGGCATTTTTTTTCCTACATAGTAATAGAAATAGTAGAGTAATTAGCTATCAGATGCACTTTAATTTAGCAGTGCCTATAAGGACACTGTAGGTCTGCCTTACCCAGCCCTAGATTTGGTGTCTTTCACTCTTGAGCTGACTGACTGCTTACACATGAGTAACTCTTCAAATGTTTCCCTACGTGCCTATGTGTCGATTACTTTGGAAGCTAATGCTCAATTTTAAAACACTGGACAGAGTTTGACTTGACAAGATGGAGAGTTCTAGAAAGATGCCGTGCAGGCGTCAGTGATTTTAAACTGTAGAAGAAGAAACTAAACTAAAATCAAAACAGGGTAAAGCCGCAGCATACTACCGTTAATTGCTAACTATCTACTGGATATATTCCCTCGCGTCGCACA